AATAACACGTAAGTGTCGTTTGTTTTGCAAAATTTATGCACATTGATGCTTGTTTGTGCTAACGAATTATACATAATTTGATTTTAACTACAGTTGACGCAAGCGTCCGTTGCCCAGACCCCCGCCATCCAAGACATGGTTCTAGGCACCCCTCCCCTGAAGGCGATGATTACCCACAAGGCGCTGTGATACGATACACGTGTTTTCCTCAGTTTCACATTCACGGTCCCGTGACTCGCAGGTGTTTGGCCAACGGTCAATGGAGTGAAAAGGCTCCCGAATGTCTCAGTAAGAATACCTATTTTAAATAATTGGGTTTCTTCGTCCTTTTTTTCAGAGGTTTGGGAAGGGAGAAGGGGTGGGCCAATTAGGTACCCTCGCTAGATGGCTGGATGTTGGCCGAGTACAATATTTCCGTTTTTATGAATAGCGGTCCACCTAATTCTCCTCGGCATGCATCACCAAGTGTCTCATCGTAATCGCCAGCACAGAACATGGTAACAAAACAAGCTTAGTCAAAGAAGGAATCGTTGTATCGCAAACGAATCTTACAAACTATTTTAAAAAGGATTCAAGAAGTCCGACACGGTTTTTTGGATTTTTTTGATCATCGAGACGTGATTTCACTTCAATAAAAAACTACCAGAAAACATTTTCCCGTTTCAACGGAGAGTTCTTAAAAGTTGCAAAGTATTCACTCCGGCTAAAATAACTTAGAGCCAAATTTTTCTGCGGATCAATGCGGGCAAACCCGAGTAGGCAAACTAAAGTCGGATAGCCAATCCGATCATAGGACTCGCTTCCACTCTCCCGCTCGTGCACCCAGCCACACAACAATGGTGTATAACACCCAGAATAATAATGATGATAATAAAAGATAAAACTTTTTTCTCAGCTCCGCCACGATTTCAGCTAGTGCCGAGCAACGAGACTGTCGAGGAATCAAAAACCAACACTTTTCTTTGTTCCGCTTCAACCCCTGATACAAAAATCACGTGGTACAAAGACGGCAAAGTCCTGACCGGAAGTCACTTTGCGGTCTTGTCGAGTGGTAGTCTAATGATTCTGCGCGTATACCGTGAAGACAAAGGCTGGTATGTCTGTAATGCAACGAACAAGGCAGGCACTAAACTGGCTCGCGCATATCTGAAGGTGTTGCGACCGCTGGACTCAGGTTAGTCTCATCAAAAGACGACCGAAGCAGACAAATTACTGTTTTGGGTTTTAAATATTAAGCTGTTATTCATTACTATTTGTTACTTAAAGAAAACTTCGCCAGGCATGTGATAGGAATCACAAACATTTAGATATACATGCAATTATTTCAGCATCCTCACTGGTTGAGAACACTCACTCAGTCCCAAACAATGTAGAAAGTTGAGAATGAATTCAAAAGCTTTACAAAAACTGCAGGAAATTAATTTTAAAACCATAACCAAAGTAATCATAAAGGCTAATCTGGAGAAAGAAAAATGACTTGAACAGCGAATGAGAACTCATAGTAAAACAACCAAACTGCCTAAAATGCGGAAAAACACGTTAATTTTTCACAAATTACGTTTTGCACTCGATTAAAGAGCTCGTGCAATTTTTTTCGTCTTTGAAATTTCCTCTTCTTTACTTACTCCAAAGTAAACTCGAAATAGCTTTTTTTTGTTCCAATGCAAATGATCCTACTTTAAAAGTAATGTATAGGTTTACCTTGATATCAGTAAATATATGTGGTATTGGGAGTCTGATACCATAACCAACCATTTTTCAAATTCAGTCTTTCTTCTGTACTGAAGAAAAGTCAAAATGGCCCAATGCTCTTTGTTTGTTTTTCACTGTATAGATTGTGGTAAGCCGACGCTAACTACTCGTGGCAAGATTGTGGGCGGAACAAAGGTAGAAGCTGGTCACTATCCGTGGCAAGTGAGCCTGTGGAACACGAGGGCCAACAAACATTTCTGTGGCGGATCACTTGTGTCTGAGAGGTGGATTGTGACAGCTGCCCACTGTGTTTCTTCTGGAGGTAAGAATTAGATGCATATTTACGCATGCGCGATCTGATTTAAAGATCCAAGCTACTCTTAACAAAAAGTCCGGTCTCAGTCCCTCTTCATTGGCTCGACCTAACTTGGATCTTATTTTAAGTTCCGTGACGACATCTAGAGCGTCACACGTGAGTGCTTCTCTCGCCCAAACATCCCAGTCCTAGCGCGGAAAATGAGGTAGGAGAGAGGCCAAGGGATTAGATATTCATTAAGCCACGTGACAGGTCGTGTGACGGTTTTAAAAGGCTGCAAGTCTAACAAAAGCTTTGAAATAGAGTGGAACCGGGGAGGAGAAAGCTATGTTTTGTCTGCTGATACATTTTTTAAAATAACAATATATCTGTTTCTGATGGCAAGGAAAGGCTGACGGCACGAGTGAAATAATAATATTAATCGCAAGCAAATCTGAGTGAAATTATTGCACAGAACAGAAATGCTCCCCAACCCTTGTAAAACACTTACTTCAGTATGCATATTTTCCGACCATGCATTCCCTGTTGTTCTTTGAAAGAGAATCAATCGAGAACTTCTTCACGTGGCGTTTTTTTCTTTTTATCTCATGGCCTTAAGTTTTGATTTATTGGTGATGGTGTAAGAAGAAGTTAGATGCTAGTCACTCTTAACAGTTTCAGGGTTAATCAAACGCGTTCGATGTTACGCCTGTGTTAAATTGAAGTATGTAAATCCACTTCGGCTCGTTGACTTTTATACTCAGTTGCGTTATGACCCCTTTCACTCCTGAGATCAAAATATCACTTCTCTGCACTGTACTCCATACATTGCTTATAATTTTGGCTTTGAGAATCAAATCAAACATCATCCCCAAATGTATGTTTTCCTTTTTTCTCATCACCTTTTTACTTAAAAGTGTAAGAACATTGTAAGGAGAAATTTCTCCTTGGTCACCCTTGGGGGTAAAAGTGTTGAGCTTGAAAACTTGATCTTCCGCAGGAATTTCAATCAGTGATGTTGAGGTACGCCTTGGTAAGTTGTACACTAACAAACCTGAACCATCCAGAGAACAGATCATTCGTCCGGACAGGATCGTGATTCATCCACAGTACGATAGTGACCGTGCCGACTACGATGCAGACCTCGCTCTTATTCACCTGAAATCCGACGTCATATTCACTGATTACGTCAGACCTATCTGCCTTCCGCTGCGGAGACAAGACAGTGATAGGACTCTGCTAAGGACTGGCAACATTGGGGTCATTACAGGATGGGGCCGGAAGAAGGAAACCGGTCGTGAGGTCCTTAGAAGAATGCACCAAGTCAAAGTACCAATAGTGGACCAGGCGTTGTGCAAGGCAGCACACACGAGGTATCCCGTCACATCAAATATGTTCTGCGCCGGCCATCATAATGGCACACTTGGTGACGCTTGCCAGGGAGACTCGGGTGGACCGCTGGCCATCGATAATAGTCAAACAGCAAGTGATGATGATCAACGCTGGGTGCTCGCGGGCGTCATTTCCTGGGGAGATGGCTGCGGTAGAATTGGCAAATATGGCGTCTACACTCGGGTGTCGAAGTTTGTTCGATGGATCAATGATCAAGTCGTTATGGACTGACGATTGAATGCGATACGGTATTTTCGAGAAATTGGGAGTTAAAAAAATAATATAATGCGCGCTTAATAAAACTTATATTCACTTATCATCTAGCGAACTTGAAAATTGTAATCTGCCAAATTAAAAAGGGGCCTAACAGAAACAATAATTGGAAATTTTCTTAGGCTACAAAGTTGTCAAACAATGAATGGTTAAAGTGGAATAAAGGCCACATTATGTTACTGACTTCAGGATTGTCCTCTAGTAACGTAACATGCATTATAAGCGCCTGGTTCTTCATATTTTTGGCTCGGTTAAGCGTGGGCCCCACCATGAATAATGACTTCAAGCTAGGACTTCAACAATAAGGAAAGAGTCATCCCTGTCAACTGACTCAACTGCACTGAGACCCCGACGGCGAGAGAAATGATGGGGTCTGGGGACGAGATTGAGGTGGAAAGATGCTTCAATGATCCCGCTGACTCGAACCCGGCTAACTCAAACCACCCGTTAACTCCGATCCGATCTCCCTTGTATTTGACCCTGTTTTTCAGTCATTTACTATCAGCGACTTCGAAATCGGTTAACTCACCGTTAACTCGAACTCGTTTAATTTCCTTGACTTAAATTTATCCTGATGACTCGAAATTTAAATATAAACGTCGCTTGATGAACGTGTAAGTGTCAGAACATAGCTGATCAACACGTCCCGACATTTTGTTGCGATTGTTACGAACGTGATTACATTTATGAAAACCAGGAACCCATTACTCTCCTGTGAAAACGTAACACATTTAGCAAAATTTCCCAAACTAAACGTGCTCATTCAACACCAAGCCCCCGCTATTAAACTGGAACCATTTTTCATTTCCCTGGGGAGTTGAAGGGAGGGGGATTTTACTGTATCTGTCACGAATGACCGTGGAGGCCTGGAATAATAGAGCCCTGTGGGAGTGCCAGGCGAGAGAGATGAACTCTTTAACACCTAATGGTGACTGGCTTCTAATTTCTCCTTACAGAATAACCCTTGCATCAAATATCAAGGTCATGAGAATTAGGAAAATGATCACCAACTTAAGACATTCCTGATGGCCAAACAAATTCTCCTTGACAGTTCCATGGGAAAAGTAAAGAGGTCAGTGCGGAAAATACGAAATTTATTTTTAAGGCGGAAAGGGGTTACGCGTCAAATATTAAGTAGCCGGATGTTTATTACAGAACTTGACACAGTTTCTTTAAAAATAATAATAATAATAATAATAATAATAAAAGAAAATTATGCGCTTTTTCATTTACATAACATGTTTGTTAGTTGTAACGCAGTCATCATTAATTTTAAAACAGATGAAAATTATTTACATTTAAATTTATAAAATTACGTGCTCCTCCTTTTCGAGTGAGTTCCTTCCTCCAAGATGAAGTAAAATCTCTTTGATACAAATCAATAGTCGCAAGTGTATATAATCTCAAAAATGTTCCATAAAAAAAGGTATGGACCACAGAATAAAATTTTATTTGCAAACTCGTCAAATGAAAGTCACATTAAAAGAATTTTGCCAAATTGTTTTAGAAAAATTATTACTTTGAACCACGCGAACAGTAACCAACCAACTCGAGGATAAAACTGTTACAATCCTCGTCTTATGGCTAAACCAAAAGCAGGGCAACGGTTGTTTTTATGCAAGTTTGCATCAAACTTTCCGTCCAGAAGACATTCTTGATGGCAATTCTTCCTTCTTACTTTACATCTTCAACGTAATTTATGTCACGCGAAAAGCTGCATAGTTATAACATTGAAGCTTGCTTGCTCACGTGACAGATGTTGGTGCGTGACCACTTTTTCCATTCATCAGACAAACAAAAGAAGACAACTTCGCGACCCGAGAGCGTTTTAGTTCATATTTGAGCCTTGACTTGAGATCATCCTTTCCTGATGAATGGCAAGAGTAAAATGATGAGTGTCGACGCGAAAAACACTAAAATAAACAACACCATGAAAGCTCGATCCACTATGGCCGCAGCAATCCTACTTTCTGTCGCATGGAAGTCGATGTCCTTGTACCCCTTCAGTGTCGAAGAGACTGCGTGCTGCGGTTCGGGTCCCGTAGACGTTTTTTTGACTCTCTGTCTTATCTCTTGGTCAGATAAATTTTTTTGTGTCTCTAAAAGGGTGATATCGGTTTCAGCTGAAGTCTGAGCATCAACAGCAAGCAAATTTGCTTCGTTTTTCGCTGTCGTCGCTACTCCGTTAGGCTGATTCGCTTTGTTCTCTATAACATTGTACATCGAGATGACACTATCCCGTGGAACGCTTGACTTAGGCCTTTTGAGACATTTAAACAGGAAGCACGATTTGTTTTTTGCAAGTTTGGCCTCGTTGACAATTTCCGTGTCAACCCACAGTAATGGTGCCAAACGACAAAAAAGGAATCTTCGTAACCGAGGTGATAAGCCTTTTCCGTACAAATAACTGTAGTACATCTTTAAACTGATGCCAGTTGCAACAAGTGCTAAGGCGACTTCAATGATCGAGCAAGTATAGTACATTCCAATGACTGGCACTGCCTCAGAAGTGGGAGGAATGCTCTCTGCAACCAACAGCAGAAATACGGTCATGCTCAGTAAGACGGTGATCACGAATGATATTCTCTCGCCACACTCCACTGGGATGTAGAACGAAAAGAAGGCAAGTAGAGCTATGAGAAAGTTAGGTATGATCAGATTGTAGGTGTAAAACAAAGAGCGCCGCTTGAGGTTGATATAAAATGTAACGTCAGTGTATTTCTCATCTGGGCAACACGCATATTCATCTTCGCTCCGCTTGATCTGGATGGATATTACATTCCACTCCCCATTCTCGACTTTTTCCTTTGCCACTGGTGCCAAATTCCGCTTGGGAACTAAATCGAGTAGTCCCTTGTGGAGATTCCAAGAGCCAAACTTGAGTTTACACTGCTGCTCATCGAAAGGAAAATCTCTTACGTTAAAATGACACGAAGTTTTGAAGATGAAAGGCGCTGCCCAGTAACAATGACCCGTGCTGTTTACTCGAATTCGAGTTTTCGCGTTATCCATTCTACCGCCAAATTCTTCAAAAACACTATACAAGATAAATGAAGAAATATCACGACGATAATCTTACTTTGGGAAAGATCATTCTATGGCAAATTGACGTTCCTAAGAGATCAAAGCTGACCAATTACTTTTAATTACAGTCCAATCTTTAAGCCTAACACATCGCCTTAAAACTGACCATTCAGTTTTTCACGAGCCAGACTGACCGCTGTTTATTATCATATATATAGATAATCAAGACGACCTTCAAATGAGAGCTAATCAACTAAATTTTCATGCAAAACTGTGAAATATCCTTTACATGGTGGTTCACACTTTGAAGTCTGTCGATGAAACACCGGCGTGTGACCATTAAAATGAAAACTGCTGAGCATTTCTTTCTTATGGTACAGTTCAAATCGTCACTTAAATAGGTCATTATACAGTTGTGTACATAGTTACCAAGCCTTTGAGTTGGAGTGAGGCTGAAGGCGACCTTGCTGTGATAGAGACCTGTATCTAGTCAGCATGATAACAAAGTAATTGCATTTGAAATGCAGCTAGGTTTTTATCACAACAAGGTCAACCTTAGCCTCACTCCTATTCAAAGGCTTGGCAACAAAGCACACAACTTTAAAATGGACCATTAGAAATACGTGGTACTGCAAACTGGAATGGGTCTCGAATACAACAACATGCCCGGAACACGATTTACACTCACTTGTTATAAAGAACAATGTCCGGCTTCCACAAGAGGGAAGAATCAATAGATATTTCTTCGAGTCCACCGTATTCGCTGGTATTCCACCTGATCAGTTGGTTTATCCATCTCTGTCATATTAACCATTTCACAAGCGTAAGAGATGATGCGTGATAGCAACCATGATATTGAAAAGTGACGTCAAAAACTGTTTCCAATTTAAAGAAGGTGCTCCACAAAACGTATATTTTTTATCATTATCATCTAACAGCATACATAAAAGTATGACTTACCGCGTGTTTAGATCACGCAGAGTAACCAAACTCTTTCAAAACTGTCTTTAAAATGCTGAAAATTCCGTTTAGGGCGCCGCCATTGTTAACCTTGCTATGCAACCTGGCCCTCTTGCTGTAACGTAATGTTGTAAGTCTCGCGCCATTGTTTTACTACTCTTGGCATTCTGTTTGAACAATCCTTTATTCGAGTAATGAATGTTTATAATAACCAGAGCTGCAACTGTTCGAGAAACACGCGTCATGGATTTGTGCGCAAGGCAAGGTTACTATGCAGTCATCTAAATGGCGGCCACCATAGTAAAATTTTCAGAATATTTAAAGACAAATTTCCAACGGCTGAATTATTCTTTACAATCTCAAAACACAGTAGGTAGTTAATTCTAATGGATCCTTTATTTGTTATTTGGAGCACACTTCTCGTTTAGCTGATCTGTAATTGAACTTTCCTCATAAATTTTATATATTCCCAAACAGGCCGTAAGCGTGAAAAAAAAAAAAAGAATAAAAGCAAGAGGTATTAGGTTATCAAAAGCGCAAAGCCTGTAACACCAAATTCTCAAAAAATACCGGCAAAGAAATGCAATGCTATCGATCAAAGGGCTGGTGCGTAATCACGGGAACGGGGGGGCGGGGGGGGGAGGGGGAGAAAGGGGGAAGGGGGTCTTTCTCAAGTGAATGGTTTCGCTATGTCAAGTAGAACTCTCTTCGTGATGGTGCGTTTTTCCATCGCGGATGTTAACTAAATGTTGAATGGATTCGCACACAATTTAGAGTTTCTAAAGAAACTGTGGTGCTCCAACGGCAGGGGTATGACAAGATGATTTGATTTTATCATCTGACTTGATAATGTAAATTGGCCGCCGTAAAAAGAGTTGATGTTTCGATCGATATACTTTCGTCAGAGTGATCACGAAAGGCTAACTAAGGGCTAACGAAGCTCTGACGAAGGGCGAAGGCTCGAAACGACAACTTTAAAAACTCTTTAAGGTGGTCATCATCAACTCAGTTGATAAACCCAAATTAGCATGCTTTAATAGAAACTTTCGTCACGCAATGAGGTTAAGTCAAGAGATCAGGTAGGAATCGCCATTCAAGAAACATGATGTTTAGCGTAAATGAAAATAAATTAAAAATTTAAATCCCGTAAATTTCGGGAGGGTCTGGGAACGAGGCTATGTTGGTTCCCAGGACTTACCTGCCGTACCCAAACACTACTAGTGAGAATTTGATATTTTTCGGCCTGGAATGAAGATTAGAAGAATGCTGTTGTTAGGTTTAAGTTCAACCGCTTTAATGTCAGTTTATAACTACTAAATTTGACTCAGTTACGTGGTTTAAATGATGAGTGGTTAATTGCACTCTAATCTCAATGAAATCGCAAGAAAGTTACTCTGTTATTTCTAAGAAAACGTTAAGACTGAAAATAGGGTCAGAGAATTTTCTTTTAATGTAAGTTAGCTTAATAACTCTCTGTGATCATGAAATTATTCGTAACTGACAAATAACTTACTGAAAAACATAACAGCATTTAAGAATTAATAACTTTCTCACGTTTTCTATTTTATTTACTTGAGAAAGGTAAGAAGTGAGGATGATAAAATCTAACCGCTTGTATATCAACATGTGCCATGAGATTAATTAGAACAAAAATTATTTCAAGATGAATATTTGTGTTCTAGACTAAAAAACACAAGCGCCATAAGAAAGTTGTCGAATGTAACGATTGCAAACAGCATCCAGTATGGAAAAGAGTGAGTCAGGAAAGATGCTTTATGCATGTTAACCATTTAACTCCCAGAAGGATCAACATTTAACTTCTCTCTGTAATATCCTTACATTATCCAGCAAACAGGTCATGGGAATATTCAAGAAGAAGTTATTATCTTAATCTTACACCAAATTCTCATAACTAATTTATAAGGATATTTGTAGCTGCCAGAGGGGAGAATTAACAATCAGAGTTAACGTCATAAAACTAAATTTTACCCACATGTATTGAATTTTAATACCACGGTATTCCTATAACACTGAAACTAAAAATAATATTCAAATAGAAAAAACAAGAGAGAGGCCAAGGTGCGTGTAAATTTAAGTGGAAACGAGGCGTAGGGGTGGATCTTTTGGTAAATAACGTCATCGCACATAAGAGCTATTACACTGTACGCAAGTCGTGGGTTGACAGAAATGAGAACGCACGTGAACCGCCTGCGAAAGGAAGTGAGCACGAGCGAGAAACAATGTCTATTTACATAGAATTATAACATAGCACGCGTGCTTGCCCTATGTAAGTCCTATTGAGCCGCTAGGAACAAAATCTTTATTTACGCACGCCCGTGCGTAACTAAGATGACGTGAGCATTTTTTTCACCTGGCCTTCGAGTTTCCGTCCTGTTAAGCTGCAGTGAAGTTTTCCTTCTCTCTGAAATATGGAAGAAACCAGCGAAAAACTGCCCAATTTTCCTATCGACATTGACCTTTTAGGTCCTGATCGAACAAGCAACAAAAATAAAGCAGAAAAAACTCGCAAGTTGCACGTTTCGCAAATTTGTCGGAAGACCAGCTGCCGCAAATTTTGGCCGAAAGACATTCACTGGGAACACCAACTGTCACCAGCTGGTCATTAATAACATTTGAAGGTAAAATTTCCATTTTTATTTTTGTTTTTAAATTTGTTCAACCTGGGGAATAGAGTACACAGTTGTTAATTGGAAATTTACCAAAACCTAAACAACCAAGGCCGCAAAAAATCTAAATCAAAAACCATTTTTCCCGTAAATTTTGAGCTTTTCATCCACAGTTATCGGTTAACTGGATCAAATGTTCTCGCTCAAACCAAAGTATAAAAAGTGGCGTGTTTTTGACCAGCCAATAGGGAAGTTTGTTTACTTTTTTTGTGCGTTGTGAGAATTTTGCACTCTATCACAATAAAAGACTTCTTCGCGCAGATCCTTGTAGTCGCTCTGTTATAAAAGAATTTGCTCATGCTTTTAGCGTGCGTATATCGAGTTATGGATGCACTTGGGAAGTTTGGAGAGCACTCAAAAAGCTAGAGTTACTCTCGGCTGCGCCTCGAGTTACTTTAATGCATTTTTCGTGCTCTCAAAACTTCCCGCGTGCATCCATAACTCGATATACGCACGCTAAGCATGAGCAAATTCTTAAATGATCAGTAACGCTTCACAATGATTCACCTATGAAACTTATCTGCAACAATCTAAGTATACCATGTAAAATGTAAATGAAACTTACAATAAAATCAAACAAATCAGATTAAATAATATTCATAAAAACTTAAATAAAATAAAATGCCTGGTCTAAAAAGGTTAAAGAAAAACCTGATCAAACGGTAGGTCTAAAGGTTGCGTTTAAAAATTGTCAATGATGGGATAGCACGCAATTTAGCGGGTAAACTATTCCACAAACATGGTGCGGCGGTATAAAAGGATCTAGCTTCAGGCGAGGTAACTTTATTTTTTACTTATAAACTAAGTCAGATTTTCATGTTGAGAATGCGACTGTTTCTTCCTAAACAAAATTCCTATATTTCACCCATCGCGCAAAGAAAACATATTAGCATATTTGCGGAGGCTCATTTTGCGAACTTTGGCTACCTTTGGTTTTTGGCATTACTTTAGCTCGTTACAAACGATTATACTGGTTTGGCTTTGAGTCAATTGATAAAGTACAATAACCCCCCTCATATTTCGTTTATTTTGGCATTCTGAAAAGGAATCTGTGCCAGTCCTGCACCCCACTGATATGACAGAGTTCAAATCGTGTGTATCGTTCTCGCAAGATGGAAGAGCAAGAGAGAACCTGTTGGCGCTTTATGCGATAAGAAAGAAAAAGCAATAAATTGTTCAATCTTCGCGAATACGCGCGTGTGAGTTGCGTGATCTCGTGCGCGTTTTTCAGCACCCACAGGATCCGAGATCTATTCCACTTTGCATTATTGAACATTCAGAGCCCTAGCCCATTTGACCTTTATCTTCAACCCACTACAGGACCGTTATGGTTAGAAGCTATATTTTTTCAGGTTCTTACAAGTGATTTGTTATATTTGCAAAACGAGAATTCCGTCAAAAAGCATGTCTAGCGTAGCGGTTTATATGTGGGCTGAGGAGTTGACCCGAAATCGCTCTAATCGTTCTTTCTTCCGATATCATATTTTCCCTGAGATTAATACCTCTAAGAACAGATTAAAACTGCTGCAAGACCTAAAAGCAAACAATCATCATATGTTAAATTTTCAAGCCCAGAAGACAAGAATTTTAATTAAAGCCGGCTACTGGCGGTCTGCCGCCGCCATTGAGACCTCTCACCCGCCGTCTGTTTAGCCCGCCAACTGGCACAGGTGTTTGTGTTTCGCCTAACCGCCCCTACACGAGCACAACTGCCTGTTTACACCAGCGACAGCCTTTTGTCTCGCTTTTTGAAAAAGTTATTTGAACCCTTGCCAGAAGAGTGTCGATGTTTTTGACTAGGGACTGTAATCTTTCAACTTTGGATTTCAAAACCATGATTACCTTTCAAGGATTTCCGTTCCCGGTTGAACTCACTAACTATTTGAAAACAAGTCTATTATTAGGAAAATTTATTTAATTTCATTCTCTTAAAATATAGGTTTTTAATCTTCTTTGTTCACAAAAACATTAATATTTTCACACTTCTTGAGCAATTTGTAAACATCTTGGAATATTTGCATAAATTTAGCCAAAAAAACCCTTTTGTTTACATTTTCAATTCATTATTAATTCTTTTCATAAAGAGTCATTCATTTATCTCAACATGTTGCCTGTATAAGCCAGTTTTTATGCCCTGAAGTCTTCGTTTTATAACCTACGTCACTATATCATTTGCAGCTTTTTCAAGCTCAAGCAAAGTTTGCCACATCTCCTGTTATTCTACTTCAACAAGTTGTTTTTTTTCTTGGCGCTGAAAGCTGATTATCTTTATAAATTCTGGGGCTGGAAATATTATGATTCGATTAAAATAGATTTAATCCGTCCTTTATAATACACGCGTGGAAGCGTATTATATTCATTCAATTTAGACTGTTTGTAATTTGAGGTTTTCACTCAATCAGCTTGAAATGTTTTGTTTCGTTGCTTCCAAAACAGTCTGTTTATCAATCCTTTGTCTACTCCGAAATAACATATCAATTATCGCTCGTCGGAGACTTACCAATAGGGAAAATACCTAGCTACGAAATAATTACAGAGCGTTAGGGAGCTGTTCACATTTGTTCAATATCTCACGATTTAACTGAGTTTTGAACAAGAGAGCTTTCTTTAGGTTAGAATGTCCCTATTGTTCAATATCTCACAGATTTAACTGAGTTTTGAACAAGAGAGCTTTCTTTAGGTTAGAATGTCCCTCGAGCTAAATTTAGTTGAATTCGAAAAGTCTAGCGAAAGAAAAATTTTCAGCAGATCACGGTGTTTCAGGAAGTCGCGTGTACTTGTTTTAAAATGCCGAGGATGCTAAGAAAGAACGAAATCCGGGGTCCATACAACCGGATAAACCTCGCGCGTATGTTTATATCCTGAAGTTATTGTCTGTTGCTTGAACGAAATCTCTCCTGCCCATCAACCAAACACACGCATGTCTAAGTGTTATGAGTCCAACTTAGATCAATTAAAAAATAACGAGACGGACAGGAAGTCATAGATGCTTTCGATAGTGAAATATGTCGAGCAGAAATTTCAAAACATTCCTATAGATATCAATGAAAACTGAAATATTGGACACTTACCATTTCGATCACACCGTGAAAAGTTATGTCCAAAGTAATATTTACTGCCTCAGACGGGTTTAATACGGGTCTGACGTTCGGATTTATGTTCTTCGCGATTTGTTGAATCAAACGCTTCTCGCTAACATTGACAGCGCCTAAAAGCAAAGTTTAATGACGAGCCAGTTTTAAATTTATCACAATCCCAATAATTTCGCAGTTAAACAGTAAAATACTGAAGAAGAAATATTGCGGTCGATTTTAACTCTCGTTACACGTTGTTTCCTTTACAAAGTTTCCAAAGCAAGACAACTTCAAGTGCCTTACCTTCGACAAAGAATCCGCGAAATGAGACATCACTTGATAAAACAAGTCCGATCGTAAATAGAGCGAAAGTAGGGAATTTTCTTCTCGCCATCGCAATCGCCATCGAAACTCTAATGTTATTTCAGATAACAAAGGAACTGTAATACATTAGTTGCGCTTTTAGGCGGTCAGTTTCATGTATCGCAGAGGGAGTTGTGACGTCACTAAACAGACGTAAAAATAGCGTTGTTAAGTTTAACGTATGGTACACACACTATCTTCCGAAAATAATAGCAACTCGCTCTCAAACATCCAAACCATAACCAGTATCACTTGTTTAAGCACAAAGTCGGCACGGGGGGTACATTTATGACCTATTAGCTAAAATATTTCTCGTTATAAAATAATTCTAATAGTACGCGCGCTCTGATTGGCCATCAAAACCATTTTACATGAGCGTATGTAAACACGGTTTTCGTTCCTCTTTCATTAGTTATTTTATAAAAGAACTGTAAAATGGTTTCCGTGTTTACATAGCCTGATGTAAACACCTGGGAGGTTGGGAGAACACTCGATAAGCTGGAAACCACTCCGCTTCGCGTCGTGGTTTCCTACGCTTATCTCGTGTTCTCCCAACCTCCCGCGTGTTTACATCAGGCTATGTAAACACGGAAACCATTTTAAATTTCTTCAATATTGCTGCGTTATGACACACTGTGACTGGAAAGTTTCAACCCGCATGATTGTCATTTGACACATGATCTAAGTTTCGGTTTTAAGGGTGTGAGCGCTCTTTCCGCCTCTGCAACCGTAATAATTATCATGGGCAAAAAGCAAAACATCCGAGGAGGCGAAAAATACATTACAAAAAATCTATGCGAACGGGCAAAAACTACAGTTACAGAAACTACACAAAGACTTCGGGGCGGCTACTCTTCCGTTAAGTTTATACAAACATACGAGTTTCGTCAAATGAAAGTCACATTAAAAGAATTTTGCCAAATTGTTTTAGAAAAATTATTGTTTTGAACCACGCAAACAGTAACCAACCAACTTGAGGATAAAACTGTTACAGTTCTCGTCTTATTGCTATTTAGTGCGATGGCTAAACCAAAAGCAAGGCAATGGTTGTTTTTATGCAAGTTTGCATCAAACTTTCCGTCAAGAAGACATTCTCGATGGCAATTCTTCTATCTTACTTTACATCTTCAACGTAATTTGTGTCACGCGAAAAGCTGCATAGTTATAACATTGAAGCTTGCTTGCTCATGTGACAGATGTTGGTGCGTGACAACTTTTTCCATTCATCAGACAAACAAAAGAAGACAACGTCGCGACCCGAGAGCGTTTTAGTTCATATTTGAGCCTTGACTTGAGATCATCCTTTCCTGATGAATGGCAAAAGTAAAATGATAAGTGTCGATGCGAAAAACACTAAAATAAACAACACCATGAAAGCTCGATCCACTATGGCCGCAGCAATCCTACTTTCTGTCGCATGGAAGTCGATGTCCTTGTGTCCCTTCAGTGTCGAAGATACTGCATTTTGCGGTTCGGGCGCCGTAGACGTTTTTTTGACTCTCTGTCTTATCTCTTGGTCAGATAAACTATTTTGTGTCTCTAAAAGGGCGATATCGGTTTCGGCTGAAGTCTTAACATCAACAGCAAGCAAATTTACTTCGTTTTTCGCTGTCGTCGCTACTCCATTAGGCTGATTCGCTTTGTTCTCTGTAACATTGTACATCGAGATGACACCATCCCGTGGAACGTTTGACTTAAGCCTTTTGAGACAATTAAACGGGAAGCACGATTTGTTTTTTGCAAGTTTTGCCTCGCTGACAATTTCCGTGTCAACCCACAGTAATGGCGCCAAACGACAAAAAAGGAATCTTCGTAACCGAGGTGATAAGCCTTTTCCGTACAAATAGCTGTAGTACACCTTTAAACTGATGCCAGTTGCAACAAGTGCTAAGGCGACTTCAATGATCGAGCAAGTATAGTACATTCCAATGACTGGCACTGCCTCAGAAGTGGGAGGAATGCTCTCCGCAACCAACAGCAGAAATACGGTCATGCTCAGTAAGACGGTGATCACGAATGATATTCTCTCGCCACACTCCACTGGAATATAAAACGAAAAGAAGGCAAGTAGAGCTATGAGAAAGTTAGGTATGATCAGATTGTAGGTGTAAAACAAAGAGCGCCGCTTGAGGTTGATAAAAAATGTAACGTCGGGGTATTTCTCATCTGGGCAACACGCATATACAACTTCGTTCCGCTTGATCTGGATGGATGTTACATTCCACTCCCCATTCTCTACTCTTTCCTTTGCCACTGGTGCAACTTCTCGCTTGCGGAGTAAATCGAGTTGTCCCTTGTGGAAATTCCAAGAGCCAAACTTGAGTTTACACTGCTGCTCATCGAAAGGAAAATCTCTTACGTTAAAATGACACGAAGTTTTGAAGATGAAAGGCGCTGCCCAGTAACAATGACCCGTGTGGGTTACTCGAATTCGAGTTTTCACGTTATCCATTCTACCGTCAAATTCTTCAAAAACACTATACAAGATAAAAGAAGAAATATCACTACGATAATCTTACTTTGAAAAAGATCATTCTATGGCAATTTCACGTCCCTAAGAGATCAAAGCTGACCAATTACTTTTTATTACAGTCCAATCTTTCAGCCTAACACATCGCCTTAAAACTGACCATTCAGTTTTTTACGAGCCAGACTGGCCGCTGTTTATTATCACATATAAAGATAATCAAGATGACCTTCAAATGAGAGCAAATCAGCTAAATTTTCATGTAAAACTGTCTGTAGATGGAACCCGGCGTGTGACCATTTAAATGAAAACTGCTGAGCATTTCTTTCTTATGGTACAGTTTGAATCCTCACTTTAAAAGGCCATTATACAGTTGTGTACTTAGTTACCAAGCATTTGAGTTGGAGTGAGGCTGAAGGCGACCTTGCTGTGGAATGGGTCTCGAATACAACAACATGCCCAGAACACGATTTACACTCACTTGTTATAAAGAACAATGTCCGGCTGCCAAACAAGGGAAGAATCAATAGATATTTGTTCGAGTCCACCGTATTCGCTGGTATTCCACCTGATCAGTTGGTTCATCCATTCCTGTCACATTAAACATTTTACAAGCGTAAGGGATGATGCACGATAGAAACCACGATGTTATAAAGTGACATTATAAACTGTTTCCAATTTAAAGAGGAAGGTGCTCCACAAAATATGTTTTTATCATTATAATCTAACAGCATACATAAAAGTATGACTTACCGCGTGTTTAGATCACGCAGAGTAATCAAACTCTTTCAAAACGGTCTTTACAGTGCTGAAAATTCCATCTAGGGCGCCACCATTGTTAACCTTACCATGCAACCTGGCCCCCTTGCTGTAACGTAATGTTACAAGTCTTGCGCCATTGTTTTACTACTCTTGGCATTCTTTTTTAACAATCCTTTACTCGAGTAATAATTGTTTATAATAACCAGAGCTGCAACTGTTCGAGAAACACGCGTAATGGATTTGTGGTCACGGCCAGGTTACTATGCTGTCATCAAAATGGCGGCCACCATAGTAAAATTTTCAGAATATTTAAAGACAAATTTCCAACGGCTGAATTATTCTTTACAATCTCAAAACACAGTAGGTATTGATATTTGGAGCACACTTCTCGTTTAGCTGATCAGTAATTGAACTTTCCTCATAGATTTTATATATTCCCAAACAGACGGTAAGCATGAAAAAAAAAATTAAAAGCAAGAGGTTCTAAGTTATCAAAAGCGCATAGCTTATAACACCAAATTCTCAGAAGGGCGAACGCTCGAAACGACAACTTTAAAAACTCTTTACGGTGGTCATAATCAACTCAGTTGATAAAGCCAAACTAGCATGCTTTGATAAAAACTTTCGTCACGCAATGAGGCTGAATCAAGTGATCGCGTAGGAATCACCATTCATGAAACATGATGTTTAGCGCAAGGGGCGTTTTTTTTCGGAATTCTCGTGAGTGTATTTTGATCCTCTTAAAAGTAGAAACCTCGTGCAAGAGAAAAACGACCAGAGAGAAGCAATAGATGATAATCTGGTTGAGCACTTAAATCCTGTAGAATTCATGATTTTGGATTGTTTCTCTTACCTGCCTAACCCAGATGTCTGTTGTGAGAATTTGGTGTTTTTCGTCCTGGAAAAGTAAGCACCTAAGTATGAGAGCATGCAGAATACTCATTCCCAGTCCTCTCCCCACCCTCATAGCTGATGACGTACGCAGCGTATTTCAATTGGTATGGCCGCTGATCACAAGCCTTACGGAAGGGGTCATTCGTCACCAAGCTACAGGTAAAGGGTGAAGGGAGGGTCTGGGAACGAGGTAATGTTGGTTCCCAGGACTCACCTGCCGTACCCAAACACTACTAGTGAGAATTTGATATTTTTCGGCCTGGAATGAAGATTAGAAGAATGCTGTTGTTAGGTTTAAGTTCAACTGCTTTAATGTTAGTTTTTTACTACCAAATTTGACTCAGTTACATAGTGTAAATGATCAGTGGTTAGTTGCATTCTACTCTCTATTAAATCGCAAGAAAGTTACTCTGTTATTCCTAAGAAAACGTTGAGACTGAAAATAGGGTCAGAGAATTTACTTTTAATTTAAGTTAGCTTAATAACTATCTGTGATCATGAAATCATTCATAACTGACAAATATCTCACTGAAAAACGTAACAGCATTTAAGAATTAATAACTTTCTCACGTTTCCTATTTTATTTACTTAAGAAAGGTAAGAAGTGAGGATGATAAAATCTAACCGCTTGTATATCAACACGTATCATCAGATTAATTAGAGTAAAAATCATTTCAAGATGAATATTTGTGTTCTAGACTAAAAAACACAAGCGCCATAAGAAAGTTGTTGAATGTGACGATTGCAAACAGCATCCAGTATGGAAAAGAGTGAGTCAGGAAAGAGGCTTTATGAGCTTTATTTAACCATTTAACTCTCAGAAGGGATCAACATTTAACTTCTCCCTATAATATCCTTACATTATCCAGCAAACAGGTAATGAGAATATCCAAACTAATCAGGTAGAAGTTGTTATCTTGATCTTACACCAAATTCTCATGACTAATTTACATGGATATTTGTAGTAGCTAGAGAGGAGAATTAACAATCACGTGATCTTGGGAGTTAAAGAGTTAACGTCATAAAACCCAATTTTACCCACGTAATGAATTTTAATACCACGGTATTCCTAAAACACTAAAATTAAAAATAATATTCAAATGGAGAAAACAAGAAAGAGGCCAAGGTGCGTGTAAATTTGAGTGGAAACGAGGCGTATACGTTGTTGTTGTTGTTGTTGCGTATGGGTGGATCTTTTGGTAAATAACGTCATCGCACATAAGAGCTATTACACTGTACGCAATTCGTGGGTTGCCAGAAGTGCGGGGGTGGGGGAGGGGAGGCGGAAATGACAACACACGTGAATCGCCTGCGAAAGAAAGTAAGCATG